GCTGTTCAAGTTTGTGGTAAAACTATTTTTATAGCAAAGTTACAAATTAATAATATTGTTCGAATGTCTTCCTATTCTACAGTTGTATGGCCACACCACAAACAATAATTTTAGACGTTTTATTTTATTCTAAAATTTGTTGTGGACAAAAGGAAAAGGTGGTTGGTTAATCGGATGAGAATTTTTATAAATTATTAAGGAATGAAATAAATATATTCTAAAAAAGGAATTGAAATGTTCTAATCCTTATAGCATTTAAACTAGGCCTTCCAATGCGCAATTGCGTAATATTAAATTATTTTCACCTTTAAACTCCCTATGGAGACTCTTTTGAGTTATATAATAGGAGAGTCATGCTGAAGATTTCTTCATTTAACAATATGAGCAGCAGCCATATGGCGACTAGACCCCCCCTAAAAGATGGAAAGTTGTTAAATATAAATGTTTTCGAACCAGAATCATATATATTTGGATATAATGTTTTAGACAAGCATGGTTCCTTATAAAATATATTTTAACTCAATTTTCCTTTGGCCTCTTGTTAAATCTCCTGAGCCTGACTGACAAGATAATTAACTGATAATGATCAACTGAGAAATGAAAGTAAAATGTTCATACTTTGGGCCAGGGCAGGGACTAGCACAAGGAACATGACCAAAATTTGGTTAATATATCTTAATTTTTTGTAATCATGATGACATATCTTTTTCGTATAGTTAAAAAGTAAGAGGTAAACTCCGATTTTTGGTGATTTGTAAATTGGTAAATCTATAATTGTATCTAGCTATGTTTAGTAACTATACTAGATCTGCATAATGATTACTCTATGATTGTATCTTTAATGTTTAGTAACTTGATTATATCTGTATAATGATTGTATCTATGTTTAGACACTATACTATATTTGTATAATAATTACTCAATCACTAAATCTATGTTTAGTATCTAAACTAGATCTGTATAATTACTCTATGAGTTTATCTATGTTTCGTAATTATACTAGATTTGTATAATGATTGTATCTATATGTTTAGTAACTATACTAGATCTGCATAAGGATTACTCTATGATTGTATCTTTAATGTTTTGTAACTTGATTATATCTCTATATTGATTGTATCTATGTTTAGTAACTATACTAGATTTGTATAATGATTGTATCTATGTTTAGAAACTATACTATATTTGTATAATAATTACTCAATGACTAAATCTATGTTTAGAATCTAAACTATAATTACTCTATGAGTGTATCTATGTTTCGTAATTATACTAGATTTGTATAATGATTGTATCTATATGTTTAGTAACTATACTAGATCTGTATAATAATTACTCTATGATTGTATCTATAATGTTTAGTAACTTGATTATATCTGTATAATGATTGTATCTATGTTTAGGTACTTGATTAGATCTGTATCAAGATTGTATCTATGTTTAGTAACTATACTAGATGTGTTTAATGATTGTATCCATGTGTTTAGTAACTATACTAGATCTGTATTATAATTACTCTATGATTGTATCTATACCTAGTAACAAAACTAGATCTGTATGATTACTCTATGATCTATATTTTTAGTTACTATACTAGATTTGTATAATGATTACTCTATAATTGTATCTATGTTTTATAGTAACTAGACTAGGTTTGTATAATGATTGTATCCATATGTTTCATAACTATACTAGATCTGTATAATGATTGTATCTATGTTAACCCTATTCCTGCTTGGAATAGATCTGCAAAATGATTACTCTATGATTGTATCTATGTTTAGTAACTTTATTAGATCTGTATAATGTTAGTATCTATGTTTAGTAACAATACTAGCGTTGTATATTGATTGCATCTATGTTTAGAAACTATACTAGATCAGTATAATAATTACTCTATGATTATATCTACATGTTTAGTAACTATACTAGACCAGTATAATAATTACTCTATGATTATATCTATGTTTAGTAACTAAACTAGATCTGATTATGATTACTCTAAGATTATATTTATGTTTAGTAATTAAACTAGATCTGTATAATGATTAATCTATGATTATATCTATGTTTATTAACTAAACTAGATTTTTAAAATGATTACTCGATGATAGCATCTTTGTTTAGTAACTAAACTAAATCAGTATAATGATTACTCTATGATTATATCTATGTTTATTAACTAAACTATATCTGTACAATAATTACTCTATGATAGCATCTATGTTCAGTAACTAAACTAGATCTGTATAATGATTACTCTATGATTGTATCTATATGTTTATTAACTAAGCTAGGTCTATATAATGATTACTCTATGATTGCATCTATGTTTATTAACTAAACTAGATCTGTATAATGATTACTCTATGATTGCAATCATAGAGTAATCATTATACAGATTTAGTAAGTAAACTAGATCTGTATAATGATTACTCTATGATAGTATCTATGAATGACCGAATAAATCCTCAGTATAAGAGGGAAAGTGATATTTTGAAGGAACTTGAGTATCAGTTTAGGTTCAACTTTACACTAGGGGCCTACTCACCATACAGTTATACACAAACTTCGAGTATATAAAGTTATAGAGTACTCACCATACAGTTAAACACAAGTTTGAAGTATATAAAGTTATAGAGTACTCACCATACAGTTAAACACAAGCTTGGAGTATATAAAATTATAGAGTACTCACCATACAGTTATACACAAGCTTGGAGTATATGTATAAAGTTATAGACTCACCATAAATGTATGCACAAGCTTGGAGTATATAAAGTTATAGAGTATATAAGTTAGTTTTAGCATCAAATTATAGATACTATAATCTATAATCTATAATCTGTGGTAGTAAACAACTTTTTGTGCTGTGATTCCAGGTAACAAGTTATCCCTATCTTGTGCAATCCTAGCACTGTAAATGTTGGTTCAAGTACCGGGCCTACTTTTTACCAATTAGAGCAAGCTGTACACTGTGCAGTACACATACAAATTATATAAGGCAAACCGGGACAGTACACCAAGCCAATTAGCCCATTCTGGGAGATTCTGGTCAGAGAGTAAGGCATTGAAGGGAGATATAACTGATGCGGTTCGCCCTATCACATGATTATACATGCTTTGCAGACAGGTACTCCATTTGTAATATTCAGAAAAGGTAATTGTATAGGGGGTAATTGTACATGAGTTAAATATTTCTTATACAAATGGAGTACCTGTCTGCAAAGCATGTATAATCATATGGTAGGGCGAACCACATCAGTTATATCTCCCTTCTATGCCTTAAAAGTGGTCGAAAACAAAGGAAATGTAAAACCTGAATCTTGTGTTAATAAATCTACAGAGTATAGGAAAAAATATATTTCCATTTTTTTTAACTTTAATAATTTAATTTAATTAAATTTTACAATATTTTCAAATTTCAATATGATATCAGATGGAAACATTTTGAGACTATGTCTACATTCTGAGATTACCCTCTCCCTTTTTGTTTTAATTTTTAATTTTTCTTGAGTCATGTTACTACGTCAGCTACTGCATTCCTAGCTACACACATTCAATGAAATTTTCTTAGTGGCGGGGAGAGGGGTGAGGGGGCCGTTCTACACATTATCCAGTTTTTTATCTTGAGTAGGACATAGAGGGGCGGGGGATGGGATGTCTGCCATCCTGTGTATTTGTCTTTATTTGCTATCAGTGAAAAAAATTAGACAGTGTAAAGCTCAAATACCCTTCTAATTTTTCCTGTTCAAAGATTTCTTTTTCTTTCTTTTTTATCTTGCTTTAAGCCCCCAACTCTACTTTTTTTCTGTTCAATTTCGTTTTTCTTCTTGCTTTTTGTTTCTTGTTTTTACACTTTAAGGTCTTTCCAAGTAGTTCTTATGACATCGAGTTGTGAAGCAGGTAGGAGAGAGATAAGGAGGTTTGTAGGAAGAAGGGTATAGGGGATTTCTCCCTGTGTTCCTTCATTTTATACTGTTTCCCAGTTAGGGGAATTAAGGAAAACCCATAACTGCACCCATTATGCAAAATGGGGAGTTGTGATCCCTGAAAGGTCTCTTGAGAGGAATCTACCATAGCATTCCAGTCCTCACATCTGGTAGAGTAAAAAACCGGTATCATTGTGCCTGGCTTGTATTCCCATGATGGGTCAAACTCCTCTTTCAGTGCACCAAGCTGAAGATGAAGTTTTGTTTTAATCTATGCTTCCAGCTTCCCCTGTAGAATACAAGATGCGTAACTAAACTCAGCTCTTCCCCAGCTGTAAATCTGGGACCACATAGGAGGTCCGCTCTGCTTGGGAGCAGACAGGCAACTATATATTTGTAAAAAAGAACAAATAACGGTTTGATACTAATGAATCAAAGAAAGCCAAAGCTCTCTGACAGACTCTCCCCCTTTCTTACCTCATACGATGGTTCAATCTTCCTCCTTTTGATTCTTCATGACAACTTACTCTATTTCAGTTTTAGCCCAGACCAATCCTATTTCCTCCTTGCTTGTGGTTCAAGCCTAATGGCTTGAATTTAAAATAGAATTCAAGGTCAACGGCGACTTTGGTTTTCCACGCATTAAAAGCATGTTTTCTGGGTTGGTATTTTTAAACAGACAAATATCTCTACATGTTATACACAAGGCAAATTATCATCCCCCCCCCCACTGTTATCGTTGACTACAGTTTATTTACAAGTAAGCTTCTCTCCATTCTTACAGTATACAATTTGTAAAAATAAAAATATGAGTAGGGGGGGGGGGGGGTTAAATCAGTGCTTTTAGATTTGGTATTCTAGGAGTTGTTGAAATTACAAGTGTTCTACAATTTTCAAAATGCTCTAGACCTTGGCTCATGTAAAATTTCGCCCACATTCTCAAACACCTATTTCACTGAATAAAATCGGACCCCCCCCCCCCCCCTCCGGAATTTTGTAGGGTTAGGATTAAACAAATAGAATTACTAGTTTTATTATTTTATTTTATTATTTTTTTCAAGGTTAATAAAATGCCGTTTAATAAATAGGGGAAAAATGGATTTACGGAAATTTATATTCTTGGTTTCTCTACTATTAGGTAATTATACCGCAAATGCAGGATTACCAACACTAAATGAGACTTCGGAGACGACTGTACATTTTCTTTCAACAATTGTTTCTTTCTTTGATTAAAAATACGATTTTGGAACATATTTAACACATTTTAGCTTTTCTTTTTTAAAGAGTTTTAGTCGTTGCAATAAAGTGCCATCCATTGTGCGTAATCCTATGTGAAATATGTTAATACATTATTACATGCAGTTAAACCCTAAATAAGCCATACATCGTAAGAATTCATCAAATGTCGTATCTTCACTTTCTGATAATGGAATGTTGCAGATATTTAGTTTTTTAATTAATGATTATTTGAAGCTCTTTAAAACTGTTTCTGCATATTCATGGATTTTTATTTATTTTCGCAAATACTGAGATTTACGTAAAGTAGTATAAAACCCATTGAAAATTTGTCAAGACGATATTTGATAAATTCTTTCGATGTATGGCTCATTTAGGGTTTAACTGTACTTGCATTGCCTAGGTTACTCATAGTTACTCCCGTCGTCTACCCGCACTTTGTCAATTTTACCAGGAAACTAAATTTTCAGAATAAAAGTTGACTTACTCGACTTAGAATCTCAAAGCTAAGCAAAGAACATTCCTGTGGATCTCTCGAGTTCCCCAATCAAAATTTGAGGCAAATTGGTCCCGGGGTTCTTGATTTATAGTCGGATAAAAAAAACAGAGTTTACAACTTTATATATATATTTTTTACAGATTTATTATATATATTTATTATGAACATATATTAATGGTGTTGAAAGTTTAAATTTGTATAACCAATCATATTTATTTCATTTTTAGTTTTTTCGTCGTCGTTTTCATAATGAAACGATCGTTTTTTAAAAAAATGAATACGATCCATCCCTAATCGTAACTCATAGCGCAAGTTTCATTTTTTTCTGAATTAATTCCAACATATCAAAAAATGACGAAATTCTACCATTAGTATCTTTTGCTCATGAGATGGTACAAATTCAATTTTTTCAATTTGAGCCCAAACCTAAAACTCACTGTTAAAAGTGGGGCAAACCCCGGTTTAGAACTAGGGGACTGTATGGTTGTCCAATGAAAAATTAAAAGCCTATAATAAATTTTTTATTTCTACTTTCATTATTATTTTATTTCATATTTTGAATGTTTTGTTCGACATTACTAATGAAATGTTAAGGCTTTTAATAATTTAGGGCTAGAGTGCTTTGGACTTGCTTCATTAAAACCAGACAAAAACTCTGAGTATCCAAGATCAAATCTACGTTCTGGACTGGTTCCTTTCAAGTATCCGGTTCTAAGACGACATCCGGTTTCCCTCTTGGGAGAAAATCCGGTCTCCCTAATAACACAAAATCCGGGAGAACTTTTTCCCAGATACAAATCCCCAAATCCACATTCCCCCGGTATACCTGGACATCTACATTCCCCCGGTATACCTGGACATCTCCATCAAATACTTACAGATTACGTCAAAGGTAATACTTGTCAGAAATTTCAATGAAAAAATCTTGTTAAACGCTAAAATCTAATTTTCTGTAAATAAATACAGTAAGAACCAAAAAACTGTGTATTCTTGTCGTCTTTGAGATTGATTTCAGCTGTCAGATCCCATTTGGATTAAGACATTTATCTAAATGCAAGATTATTTATTCCACCAAGAACACGAATAAGAAGAACTATGTGTCGTTAATCTTCAGATCAATGATTGAAGATTCAGGGCGACAATTAAGTTTTAAATTATAACACATGAAGACTAAATTTGTTTTTGGAGTTTCAGTTATAATTACACTAAATCATATTGTAAGAAAATGGCACAGTAAATTCCGTAAATAATCGTCTCATTCTTTGTGGGTAACCCTGTTTACGTATATTTGTGTGTACTGTATAATTGGATGTGTCAAAGGAAATAAAAGTTTCCAAATCAAATTCTCTCATTATGTGTATTGTGTATGGGTGCATAGAGTTCATATAAAAAAATTTCGCATTTCGAAAATAAATTGTGGCTAAACTATTTTTTTAATTCCTAATTTTTCGCGAAACAGATTGATGCGAAATTCCGCGAAAAAAGCGAAAATTTTCGCATGTTTTCACGAGCGAACGAAATTCGAAAAAACACGAAAATTTTCGCGAAAAGATTTTTCCTTTTCGCTGCAGCCCCTAAGTTTAAATCATTAGTTTCAGATTTAGGGATGGGCATAGTTTTCAAAAACTATCTGAAAAGAGATCGTTCTAATTTTGGATTTTTTAAAAATAACTAACATTTAATTTTAGAAAAACTGATTAGTAAACTAACGAAATAATAGTTTTAAGCTTCTTAAACGAAAAACGAAAAAAAAACTATAGTTGTAAAACAAACAATCGTTTTTGTTTAAATTTTAAAGCGAGGTTTGTAGATTCAAATATTTATTTTTTATTAAAATATGCTGCATTTGTCGTTTTTATTCCAAAACGATCAATCAAAAGAATCGTTTTCATTCCAAAACGAACGTTTTCATTCCAAAACTATCGTTTTCATTCCAAAAGGATAGTTTTCATTCCAAAACTAGCGTTTTCATTTTAAAACTGTCTTTTTTAAACAAAAACGAAAGTTTTTTCCATTTATGAACGATCGTTTTTAAAAACTATTGTTTTCCGGAACAATCATTTTGAAAAAGATCGTTTCGTTTATCTTCTTTACAATTATCATAACTTAGTTTCATCTCTTTCAAACAAATTTAAAACGTTCAAATTCTGTAACACTGATTCAAATATTTGAACTTGTGTTTCAAGATTTGAACTGCAGCAGTAGGTAGTTTAGCGACCTAACTCAAATTCATTAAAGTCGGTCCCATGTCTCATGACTATGTAAACTGTCTTAATTTCAAGATCTTAAAAATTATTGCGAATTTTTTTTAGATATTCTGATAAACTCTACCAGAATGTTTTTTAATCTGGAGATTGATCAAACCAGCTCTACGGTCAAACCCTTCCTTCTTCAAGAGAAAACAAGGTACATTGCTGTATCATGCAACATATCATTGTATTGCTACTTGTCATTGTATAAAGCTACATATTATTGTATCATACTACATATCATTGTATCAAGCTACATATTATTGATATGTAGTACGATACATATCATTGTATCATGCTACATGTCATTGTATCATACTACATATTATTGATATGTAGTATGATATGTAGTATTGTATCATGCTACATGTCATTAAATCATACTGCATATTATTGATATCATTATTGTATCATGCTACATTTCATTGTATCATACTACATATCATTGTATCATGCTACATATCATTGTATCATGCTACATATCATTGTATCATACTACATATCATTGTATCATACTACATATAATGTATCATGCTCTATATTATTGTATCATGCAACATTTCATTGTATCATACTACATATCATTGTATCATACTACAGATCATTGTATCATGCTACATATCATTGTATCACACTACATATCATTGTATCATACTACATATAATGTATCATACTACATATTATTGTATCATGCTACATTTCATTGTATCATGCTACATATCATTGTATAATACTACATATCATTGTATCATGCTACATATCATTGTATAATACTACATATCATTGTATCATACTACATATTATTGTATCATGCTACAATTCATTGTATCATACTACATATCATTGTATAATGCTACATATCATTAATCATACTATATATCATTGTATCATACTATATATCATTGTATCATGGTACATATAATATATCATGTTACAGAGTTACCCTCCACGGATGAGACTTTAATGACGATAAATTTCTTTAAATCTTAGTGTTGAATTCCTCTGGCCTAAATCATGCTTTTTGGGTAAATATAAGTACATACATGGGCCTAATATAAGTACATACATGGGCCTAATATAAGTTCATACATGGGCCAAATATAAGTACATACATGGGCCTAATATAAGTACATACATGGGCCTAATATAAGTGCATATATGGGCCTAATATAAGTTCATACATGGGCCTAATATAAGTACATACATGGGCCTTATATAAGTACATACATGGGCCTAATATAAGTGCATACATGGGCCTAATATAAGTACATACATGGGCCTAATATAAGTACATACATGGGCCTAATATAAGTACATACATGGGCCTAATATAAGTACATACATG